TTACGCTCCTCTGATTGTTGTATGTTGGATAAGTCAATGCTCTGTAATACAGCTCACTTTGGTGATTATCTGTACATGAGCGAGGATGGAAATTACATAAGCTGAAGATGTAGCAAGTGGGGTAGGTTGGTTTAGTGAAGGAGGTCGGCGGCTATTAAAAGATTTTGACAATGGTTTGCTGTGAGCACTTTCTTCATTAAATGGGAGTCTGGGATAAAACAAAAGAAAGCAAAGATTCTCGTCCCGGTTGGTTTGAGCGATTTATTGTGATTCAAGTCTTTACCCCTTTGGTGTCATACATGCTCCCTTTACTTGGTTCCGATGATTTTAAGTCCACTCCTACCCCGCTTCGAAGAAAGTTTCGATTCATGTCGCTTCGCACCTCACACGTTCGAATCTTGTTCGAAATATGCCGTTGACGATTGGCAGGAGTTTCTTCGCATCTCATCGCACGGCGCGAGGGTTTCGCTGTTCAAGGAAGATAAGCTTCGCAGGTTACCCCTTTCTCTCTCTTCACTGACGAGGAAGAACAACCATCTTTAAATTCTAACTTCCAGACTTTCACTGGGAGATCATGTTTACAGCTAATGAGCTGTTTCCAACATCAGCGCATGTCTTGCTGCTTCCACATCTCGACACGCAGCGACCAGCATGCTTCCCCTTTAACCATGGTATGTTATTTCTCCTGGTTTACTTAAGGCGTTTTGTGCTTGACATTCATTCCCTTTAGCCTTCTTTGTCACTTCAGTAAAATACTGATAAAATAAATTGCTCCAACTTTGATGCAGTAAGAATGTAACTGCATCAAAGTTATAATCCATCTAACTGTTGGATGGATTATAATATTATTTGATAATAAAATAGATCCGATATACGATATTAAGAATTGGAAGTATTTTTGTTGTATCTTGATGGTGTTGTCAGGTCCATACATGTTTGAAATAACCAACGTTGATTATTCAGTTGAAAATTGTGATTTCTGAATCATTCACAAGTGAAAATATCCATGGTCATAAAAAACAATGTCATAGAAGAAGGAATATGTTGATGATTCACATAAAAATTTCTCAAGATTTACATAGTTACTTCATGTTTAGAAGAAATAGCAGTTGCAGGGAAGAAGAGCTAAGGATGGAGGTCTTAAGGCACATACCTACGAAATTCAACAAACTCGGACGAAGGTAATGAAAGAAATCAAGTATAACAAGGCATGTAGACATGTTGGACCGGCAGCAAAATCAGTAAATGCAAGAAGAAATACATAAAGATATAAGCGATTTTGCATCCGGGCTTATGATCACCACAGATACACCATTACAATCACCATTTTAGAAGGTTCATGAAAACTCATCATATATCTAGGATGATTTTTCTTACCCTGTCGACCAATCCCAAAAAGGGCCAAAAATGATTCCTATCGTTGATTCGTGTCCTTGATGGATGGAGCTACCAAAGATTCTTAACCGAACATTTTTCACTTCCTTTCTTGGGATATGCATTTTGATATCTGGACCACTTAAATATTTGTCGCTACATTCTATGACATATGTAATTTATATGTATGTTTACCACATATCAATTACAGAGATAAACTTACCAAATTTTCTCACCTGTTATTATTTTCCCTTTATATTTGAAGGCTAGATAGGTCAGTACCTATTCAGATTAGAACTCAAACTCTGGACTCTAAAGCTAAACATTGGAAGTTTTATGATATTATATGAATCAGTTGTTTTGGTAGATCTGCCTAACGTTTCAGCTTATGCGCTAACTCCTTCTTCGGGTGTCATTATTAGAGGCAACTTCAACTCAATGTGATGAGGTCGCCACGAATCTGGGAAGCGATTAATTCCTCTTAAAACCCGTCAAATCTGAATGAAGTTAAGAGAAAATGTTTAAACCACATCTGAGGATTCCGCTTTGCTCAATAATGAGGTCACTCCAGTCTGAAGATACAAGTTATTGCCTTCGCTAAATCACGGGAGAAAGATTTAACTTCCATATGCACGGATCAATGCTACAGTTTGACGCTGTCTGAGGATTTGGAGCTTTGACTATTAGTCGCGTACGGCAATTTAGCATCCTCCATCAATTGTCTATGTCTTTGTTAGATCTTGGTATCGAATGACCATACACATAGTAGGTGCCGCACCGTCGTCTCGGACCAAATCTATCAGTTCTTTTGGGATGTTGATTCCCAAAGTCTTTGCAGTTGGCAGCATGTCGTCGGTGCTGTCATCCAAACCGAATATCAAACTGACAGCGAATTTGCTCCATTCGTTTCTATCACCAAGGGAAGGAAAGGCGATGCGGTTATAATGCTCGAAAATTATTTTGGTCGATACCGTATCCGAAGGCTGTGATGTGTATTTCCATATTTTGATAACCTTTGGTAAAATGAAGAAATAAAAACATTTCCAGTATGTTGGTGAGGATTTTCTCATGCCTAGTGAATGTCGAAAAGGTTATCAGAGTGGCTGGTGGTTCTAGTTGTGGTACTGCTAAGTCCACCCGCACGCTGATGTCAAATTAGAGGTATTGATAGATTTCCACATCTATCTTTATCAAAATATCTACCTACATTCTCCACTGTGCAATATCTTGTGACCCGAAGCTGGTCGAGACAATCTACGAGAATGATAAATAACATATTCCTTGTCACATTAACAGGCAAAAGTCAAAGTTCTGGTTGCAGCCTCCCATCTTTTGCCTGAAATCTTCCACAGTGCGGTTGCATGTATAAAGGCAATTCCGAGATTGCTGGGTATGTTGCCCACGAACTGATGAGCCCCGCCTACCTGAACGAGATGGTGGAGTATCTCCATGCCACCGTACAGGAAACAGAGAGGACGGCAACCTCAGGAAACGAAATCAGATGGTCAATACCTTAGTGGTACTCAAGTGGTTCAACATTGAATCAATTCCCGGTGCAAGAGCCATTAGTGTACAAGTAAACGACATTATCCTTAAAGCGATTAATATGGATACAATCAGGATCAGTAAACTAAAATCTACATCTGACAATATGAAAGTCTAGTTGTGCTCTTCCTGTCTCACAGCCGATCAACGACTTTTTTCTAAATTCTATGATATCTTTCAGAATCCATACAATCGATTTGCTGTTGGATCATTCGAGTTCACTATATTTATTGATAATCAAAAGGAATCATCTTGATAAGAAATTGTTTTGGCTAGTGGGGTCTCGATTTCGATGGTACGAATTTCGCGTTATACTGAGTTTAAATTTGTCTTTGACTGGCGAGGAGGCTTTCCTTAAGCACGGCTTTTGATGGAAAACCTTAAAAAGCCGGCACAAGAAATAATGGAAGGAGAACACGCCTGTTGCATGGCTTTATTGGAAATACATATTTGCGCACCCGTCAACTTGAATATCACCAGCGTAAAGCTTCTTTCTGAGTCCGAATAAAGTCTCCTGCTGCTTTCTTTTTCTGGAAGGGAATAAAACGTCCCGGACTCTTTGCCCTGAGCAGAGAGAACAGTTTAGCCCCGCAATATGAGGAAGAAATGCTCGAAGACGTCAGTTGTTGTTTATGTTGACGATGGCATGATCATTCTTCACGAAGCTCTCACGCTTGTTTGTTGGGAGAATGTAAATTGCCACAACGAACGTCATCCAGCCCATCCTTAACCCTGGCGATGCACTAGTCACAAAAGGTTGCAGGAGGTGGAGTTTCCAAGTGGCGACGACGACGTACGATGCAACAAACATGTTGTCGAACTTGGTCCTCGGACGATCCCTTGGAGAAAACACGGGACCCAAAAAAGCGGGACGTTGTCTATGTCAACGAGGGGGCTGCGTTTTTGTCCTCAAACATGCTCACCGTCATTTGACACGTTCTTCATAATCTTTCGTCAACACCAGAAGGAAGCCTGTCATTCTTCTACCAGAAGCCGGCGCGAGCTGACCTTAAGACGCTGAAAATGAAACTATTGTTCAGTGCGAAGGCAAGTCAACTTCCTTGACCATTTCCATCAGAGGTCTCGTCGACTTCCGATCTCTCGAAATACACGGAACAATGTTGGTGAATGAATGTCGGGAATGCAGAGTCAAACACATTACTGAGCATCTAATTTCAGCATCACATTGTTAGCTTTAGCGAACCGTAGACTAACGATTCGAGCGTTGAAGAATGCTGTACTGTAACACGCGTCTGTAAATGAAACCCTCATGATTTCAGCGCACAATCCATGGTCTTTCAGGACAAAGCTTTACAAGTAACTTGTACGAGGTAGTTGGAATGTGTGACGCTGATTTGGTTAAAATATTACAGCCGTGACATCGTCCCGGAGATGATTGAGGAACAGAAGATTTCTGATGAAGGTGAAAGGCGATTAGACCTGTGATCCTAGCCTAGCACCGAGATCTATCCTAATATCGTGCTAGACCCAGAGTATCACCTTTCCACGTAAGATAAGCATTACCACTGATTCTTCCAATCACGTGGTGCTCACCCAAATGAGGCAGTATGCATCGAAATCTCTCTCTTCTGACATTATATATCTCCACAATATGATTATAATTGATTGTTTACATGATAATCATTGATCAGTCTTCAGGTTTTGGTAGTTCGGCGAGAAAACGAGCAGGCTGACTGTCCAGGGTCAACTCGAAAATGTGTAAAATATCGTTGTGACCTAGAAATTGTCCATTTTCCCCAGGGCAGGGTTGGAGAGAAGAAGCGAATTCGGCACTAGATTAGATTGTGATGATGGATGGAGACGATCGATGTTCAAACCTTATGATTCATACTGGTGTAGATGGTGTTTAAGGTTCTTCCCAGTTGCTGGGCACAATGATTTTTGTAGAGCTTGACAGATTCGTTTGTATAGTGGCAAGAACGTTCCACGAACATGGAGGGTATCATATTTTTTCAACTGCATAATAAACTATTTTGCGAACTCTGGTCAAAATCAGACACTCCATTTCTTGCATAAAAATGAGAATTCTAACCTGGAGGTAAACATCAAGTTGAAGATGCTCGGAAATTGACAGTCCATACTTTTTATTGAATAATACTGCTTTTCGAATGTCTGAATTTTCTCCATCGTGTGCTATGACTTGATGTGATGGTATCTCTCGGATGCTCCCCGGACTAAAAGAAGGGAGGAAGACGACAAACGACGTGCGTAGATGAGAAAAAGCGGTCATTAGTTGCATCTGATAGTCCATATGCTCGGCGTACAGCGGTTGCAAATTACGAACACAGGCTGCGGGCCCGATGCAGAATCTCAAATGAGCCTCCCCAGTATCAGTTTTAGATTGATAGAGGCAAGAGGGCCCTTCCAACAAACAACAATCCATCAAACTAGAGTGGATTCCCCGAGTTTTGGGCAAAAGGAATGTCAGTTTCTGTCGTAACAAGGACTAGAACGTGAAGTAACTGATATTACAGCGACTTTTTCGAATACTATGGTAGTAACAGCTTTTGCGCGTTACTGAGGAAGATTTAGGCCGCAAGAAGTGTGATTATCTGACACCCGCAGGTGCGGGCAAAGAGACACACCAAGAGTCTTCTTCCCACCTGGTGAAAGCTCGTCTGTGCACAATGCCCATCATACCGTATCCAAGTTCAACGACCGGTTCCAAGGGCCTCGCAAAGCCTGCCAGGCGCGTTCATGTTTCACGCTGTAATTCCAAAGCTGGACCTTCCACTTGACCAATTGTGCCCCCGGACTCCAGAAGAGTAGAAGAACGAGAACGAGAGAAAATAGAAAAGTGGAGACAATTTACCTCTATCTCACGGCATGAGAGAAATATCTCGTCCCGGAGCCTTTTCCCGATTGATCTTTTCGACCACATCTAATCAGTGACGAATGATCTAGCCTACATTGACCTTGCAAAGTGGCTTGGAGACCACACAAAGGCCCTTTCACAGGAGCAGATTCGGACGCCATGGGTGCAGCAACGCGCCGTTCATTGGCTGCTTCTGCAGTTGTCGTAGTTTCACAAGCTTTACGGACGTGAAATCGGGAAAACCTTAAAACAACGAGGTAACACTGACAGCGGGAGAAAGCAAGTGTGGCGGGAACCTGGACAATGGACTACTCTCTCATGTAAAGGCTCGAAGTGACTGACGCGAGAATCGGGCGATTTTGATGCCCAACGTTCCTGGTACGTTCGAGATAATTCCGGGCAGAGTAATATACGTACGTGCCGCTGGCAATCATACAACTTTACTACTGACCAGATCTGTAGTGGCTTCCAGCGAGCGGCGATTCAAGTCAATCAGCCAACCACAACGGACAGTTTGATCGTGTCGAGCACGGAGAGGTGCTGAAAGGCAGGCCAGGCCAGGCCTTTTGGGGATCAGAGACCCGGAGCATTTACCCGGACCACCTCGAGGGTAGAGAACTTCTAGACACTCGCGGTACTTCGTAACATTGTTGCTCTGTATGACACCAGCAGCACTTTGTCGCTCCTTGCTCTACGGTGGTCCCCCGATCGAGCGCCGGTTCCTTGACTACGATGACCATCATCCAAGACCATGACGAGTGGTATTGCAACACCCGATACACACGGCTGGAGAAAACAGAAAGGAAGATAACCATTGTGGGCGATGGCATCGATGTCGAAGATGAAGATGCCAAGCTCCGGGCTCGCAGGAAGTAACATTACCACGCGCAGAGATCCAGCCTAATTGTTTACCATTGTGCATTTAGACGTCCTCATCGCATTTCTATTTCTTTTGAGCTGAATGACATATAATGTCGACATACGAGGCTGAGAGTTACTGAACCCCTTCGTGCACGGTTGTGAATGGCTCTTGACCGACCTATAGTTAATCGAGCATCGCAATGCAGACGAGGCCGAGTGATTTCCTTGTTAAGAGCCCGTTGTAACGCAGCCCGTTCGATGTCAAACTCTACAACGTTCCTCCGGTGGTTTTCAGGCTTCGCAACGCGAAGCAGGTTTGGAAATCGGAATTTTTGAAAGGAGTTTTATTCCAGGGAGTTTTCAAACCGAGTACCGTATAGCACGAGATACCGCGGCTGCGCGGCTACGGCACGGTCAAATTTGGGTCCGCGGGCGGAAGGCAGGGAGCGCGGCGGCATATTTGAAGTCGTGGCTCTCGTTGAAGGAGCGGGGCGGCGAGATCGATGAGAGGCGATCGGGTGGCATCCAGGTCCAGGAGGAAGGGCGTTCGACCGCTGCGAGTTACCGGGAGGCGAAAGGAAGACGACTGTCGGAAAGAGGACGGGGTTCTGGGCCAGTGCCCATTCGTCGTGCCCTGCTTTCTCAGCTAGATTGTCTGACCTGCAAATGGAGTTTGGCCTTTAGGCCTCGTGGATCAGCAGGTCTGTCCCTCGTACACCTGAAAGAAAAGCAATCCACGTCGTGTTTCTCTCGAGAAGCCATGTGCGTGAGGAGTAGAACGTGATCGATGGACACATGGATCCATTATTTTTTTCAATCCGCGCAATATTTCTGGCGTTTGGACAAAGATCTCGCTGGATCTTTCGCACCGGAACGCCGAAGTTCCGCAGGCCCTTGCGCGTGCGTAAAGAGAACCAACTCGCACCTCTAGGGGTCGCGCAGATTGATGACCGATGCATCCCCCTTCTGCGTTCAGTCTAGAAGCACATGGCCTTAGGGTATGCCGAAATGTCAAGCGCCGGGGAAGAAGACACCACGAGACTAGCTTCACGCTTGCTCTGTTGTGTTCCATTGTTGTTCCGTTGTTGACGAACAAATTGTTAGAGTATCTTCTGATTACCGACCTTTGCTTGCCTATCAACGAAAGGATCAAGCAAACTTGTGCATCAGTATTTGGTCCACTGTCTACCGGATGACCAGAAGTCCGACACGTGAAGCTGACAGTGTACTCATCGATCTACAAGCAACTGTAGGAGGGTGTCAGTCTTCTTGATTCTACTTGCACATACAGCACCGCGTCTGCTTCTGGCCATTATTTCGGAAGTTGCTCGTTCAGTCAGCTGCAATCTAATCTACAACTTCCAGACAAGGGTTATGAATCGTTCAAGGTCATGAGTCTGAGGCACTACCAGAAGTGCGTTCCCAATCCGTAGTGCGTGGCGACCTCCTTGTTTCTACAAAGTGGAAACGACAGGGCCTGTCTACATCTCTTCTTTCAATCCCTTCCATTCCTGGACCATGACCCACATGCCGTAGGACTTGTGAGTCTGACATTGACGAAGAGACTTTTGAATCTTGGAAACAATAAGAGGACAATGGGACTCGGGACCGTGTGCTCATGCAGTGCCGCAAGATGAACGGATGAGGTGTATGCCCTTGTATGTCACAGTGGGTAGTGGATACAGCTCCACAGCAGACCAAACTCATCGAGACTTGGAAGTGAAGCTCTTGATTTTCATCCCGTCCCTTCTCATCATTCTATGACAGTGGGTATCAGCGTCTTCATATCGGAAAGCGCTGGAGAGTGGAAGTGAAATGGTCGGATCAAACGCTGAGAGAGAGATCCATATAACCAAATGAGAGTCTGAAAATGAAATATAGAATGATATCACGTGCTCTTTTCGAAAGGTTTTCATATGTTCAGTTTTCATCGAGTAGACTGACGTATTTTCGCTGGAGAGTGGAAGTGAAATGGTCGGATCAAACGCTGAGAGAGAGATCCATATAACCAAATGAGAGTCTGAAAATGAAATATAGAATGATATCACGTGCTCTTTTCGAAAGGTTTTCATATGTTCAGTTTTCATCGAGTAGACTGACGTATTTTCGCTGGAGAGTGGAAGTGAAATGGTCGGATCAAACGCTGAGAGAGAGATCCATATAACCAAATGAGAGTCTGAAAATGAAATATAGAATGATATCACGTGCTCTTTTCGAAAGGTTTTCATATGTTCAGTTTTCATCGAGTAGACTGACGTATTTTCGCTATCAATACATGGAAGCGATGCACAGTGATGTATCGGCAGTAACCTTGCCATACATCTGTCTTGGACTCATACCGAACGGCTCTCTAGAGGTCGGCAGTAACCTTGCCATACATCTGTCTTGGACTCATACCGAACGGCTCTCTAGAGGTCGGCATTTCTGGAACAACAAATGTTGCTCGCTTTGCAAAAATTTGTGTGTTCGGTCATCCCGCAAGCTTCTTTAGCTACTGGAACGAGAAAAGAGCTCGTAGCAGTAGCAGCAGTGGCAGAAGGTGTGAAGAAGGTAGAGAAGTAAAAGCCTAGCAAAAGCATCATGCCATTATACCTCGAGATTGTGTGTCTTCATCGCCAGTTTGCGCCATTTGAGCTTGGTCTCCATTGCATTGAAAGACATTAGCAAGATTTCAACAGATCTGGATTTTTCTAAATCCTTATCCGGAATATTCAGCTTTTCTCGTGTCGTTCCATAATGCTTCCACAATCGAACGTAGAAGTTCGTCGGTAATTCCGACACAACCTTATTCATTCAGATTCATTCACAACCTCATTCATTCAGATTGCCTTACCTTACATTGGTGAAGGTTGTGACGGAATTATCGACGAAATTCTACATTCGATTGTGGAAGCATTATGGAACAACACGAGAAAAGCTGAAGATTCCGGATAAGGATTCAGAAAAACCCAGATCTGTTAAAATCTTACTAATGTCTTTCAATGCAATGGAGATCAAGCTCAAGTGGTATTTCGGGCATATCTAAGAGAGCAACATTCGATAGAGGAGTTCCTTCTCAACGCAAAATTGGGTACATATGCTCTATCTCATCTTTGAAATCGATTAAAAGTTTTATTATTGTTTCAATCCTATCAACCTCACAGTTTCTTTTTGTCTCCTAATATGCAGAGGAGAGATGAATCCAATTTCTTCCGCATGCTTATCCGATTTGAAATTTAATCCACGTCCATTTCATGCTTTTTTTGCTTCACTTTGTATCTTATTAGAAAGTGAGCTTCACGAAATTCTATTGGCTTCTTAGAAAATAACATGTTCCAACTTTCTTTACTTGCTTATTTGGCTTTCCCACCTGTTGGGAATAGTATATATATTTTTATTATCATGTTATAAGTCATGACAGAGGGTTGATAGTGAATGTATCAAAAGTTTCTGGCTCAAACACAAGTTAACAGTCAACATATTATTTCAATCTCGGATTGAAATGATAATGTTTATTGCTCATAAACATATTATCTACTTGTAAAAAAATCATTATGAGAAAATTTGTCAATGATAATATACAACAAAAGCTTCGTATGAAAAGTTCATGGGAAAGATAAAATTCTCAAGCAAGATTGTTGAAATAAAACGATTTCAGAAAAAATAATTTTCATTATAAGCAAACCATAGTAGTTTTTGGTCTTGAACTGCTCAAGATTAGAAGTTCACATAATTATTGAATGGTAAGGTTTGACTACGTCTCGTTGATCATAGTTTGTCTACCCTAGTTAGGTTTGGCCTCTAATTAGAGTCTTGGATACTTAATCCGAGTACAAACATGTTTCTGTTTCAATCTCACGTATACACTGAAGCAGAGAGCTTGGATAAGGAGGCCTAATGTACATTCTCGCTTTAGTGAAGTTTTTTTTATCTTAACCGTTTCTGTTTCACTTCACATATACACCGCAGTGGAGAGCTTGGCTATGGAGGTGTAATGTACAAACTCGCATTAGTGAAGTTTTTTATCTTGACCGTTGACGTAACTTCATGTGAAAATGAACCACATATATTTTTGTGTGATTCTCGTGGAGTATTGTACATATGAGTTAGTTTGAAAAACAAAGCTAAGATCCAATAATTGGTGTGGAGTATTGTATATATGAGTTTGTTTGAAAAACAGAGCTAAGATCCAATAATTGGTATGACGGTTTTTATTGTTGTGATATCTCATCATACAATTGCAAATTGGCCGTATCATCTTTTCAACGTGAGAAAGAGTTGTGGCGGACCAACTTGAAGTTTGCATCATCAAAAAGAAAGAACGGTATCATTTCATTAAGTGATCACAGAGATTTTGAAATATCAAGAGAGATTAATCTATTCCACTCTACTATGAAAAATAAAAACACTTTGATTTCTCAAGATTTGAAATTTTTATCAATGTATTGTCTGATTTTGCATACATAGGCTTGACCTACTCTATGAGACGATAGTTTTTACCTAAATTTTGTCAAATTTTGTCGAAAATAGAGAGATCGGAAAAATATGATCATCTAAAATTTGGGTCGAATTCGACTATAATGCTCGCACGATGAACAAGGATGCAAATTCGGAGAGACGAATTGCATAAATTAGGATTTGGGCCAAGCTATGAAGTTTGCATGTCTAGCTTTAAGTTGCATGTAAAGTAAATTGAAATTTAATTTTGTTAGTTCAAGTTAGTTAAATGTAAAAGCAAAACTTTAGCAAAAAGTTAAAATTTAATTTTTTGAAACTTTTTGTCTTTACTAAGGGAGTATGCTTGTACTGCCATGGCTCATACTTTTGGAAATACACATGTCATCATCTTGATATTGTGAATATCTATGAAAAGATTCTTTAAAAAGATTCCTTTTCCAACAAGTTGTTTTTCCCACGAAAACGTAGAATTGGAAGATGAAACATTTTCAAACTTTGCTAGGAGATACATAGCGTAGTTGGAAAACTGTTTAAATCTATTTTGCTAGAGACAGTTCAGCCATTAAATTTTTACGCCAAAAAGTATACTTGGATCAATTTTTAGTTTTTCGACCACCCTCCGCTTCGGATCAAAACTTTTTGATCACTATATAAATTTTTGGACAAGATTTTTCAAATTGTAGTGCAACACCTTCAATATAAGTGCAAGTAGTGATGCACTTATATTTTTTATTTCATGAGACTATATTCTTTGCTCATTTTTGTGGCTAAGTGTTGGAAGTAACATATTTCTTGCCAACTCATTGAGGAATAAGCGAGTTGAGCGATCTCGAAAGCAACTCAAGTGCATCAAGGAGAGAGAAAGACACTATTATGTGACCTCAAGCAGCAGTTTCAAGAAAAAAAGCAACCGATGGCGTTGAATAAGCTTGGAGGTCCACTGTTAAAGATGGAAAAATTTGATGGTGGAAATGACTATGTCTTATGGGAGCGACAAGTCACTAATGTACTTGGTGCCATGAGTTTGAACAAAATGCTTAAGCCATGATGTAATAACTTAGATCATGATGACTAGATAACATCTAATAAAAAAAAACATCCAATAATCCAATGCGGTGAGCATTGTGATATTGTATCTCAAGCCGAATGTCTTCAAGCAAATGTAGGTGGCGTAAACGGTAACAGCTTTGTTTGCAGCACTGTGTGAGAAGTATCTTTTGAAGGAGCTTTCAAACCGGTTGTACACAGCTTTGAAGCTTACTAGCTTCACGATGGCGGAAGGTTCTAAAATCCAAGACCATGTAGATGACTTTACTAATTTGATTGTGGATCTTGGAAACCTTGAAGAAGATTTTAGTGATGAGTGAAAAGTGATTCAGTTGTTAAGTTCCTTGTCTAATTCTTATTAGTTCTTCTCACAAGTGTTGCTTTATCGTGACAAAGAAACCTTCACTTATAATGAAGTTGTTACTACTTTAATGATTGATGACATGCAACAAAAGTTGTTGGTGTATGCATACCTCTTCTGATAAATTCATCTCATCATGTACTACCTTGATGATGTCTTTTGATATGACGCATACTAGGGAGAAACGAAATGGAAAAATCAAGATCAAGTCTAGATACACGTCTAAGTGTAGAGATGATAATAACATCAAATGTTGAAAATGTGATAAACCTAGTCTCATTTGCAAAGATTGTCATTGTAAGCCAAGCGATGAATACTCAGCAATCATAGCTGTAAATCAATATTCAGGTTGTGCACTTTGTTTCTCCGTCCAAGTTTGAAAACGATGAATGGATTTTAGATTTAGATTTTAAATTTTAGATTGTTCTTACCACATTTTTCATATTAAAAGTTTTTTAATTCTTGCACTTTGTCAACCAATACAGTATTTATGTGAAATGATTAACCTTGCAAAATTTTTGGCATTGGATCTGTGAAGATTCAAATGTTTGATGGGGTGATCCGTACATCGATCAACGTAAGCCACCTACCTAGTAAGTGTAAGAACTTAATCTCACTTAGAAAATTAGACTTGAAAGAGTTCAACTGGAGCACCGAAAGTGAATTTTTGAATGTGATGGATGGATCTCACGTTGTCATGAGGATCTCAAGGTTGAAAAATCTGTACATCTTACAGTATACAAGTTTCTTTATAGAGATTCATTATAGTACATCTTTGAATTTGAATTCTCAT